GAAGAAAGGTAAGTGGCTGAAGGGGTTTTAACCACTTCTGCCTAGCGGGTGGGGGGGGCCCTAAAGACCCTAAAGTGCCAGGAAAACGAGTTTGTTTTCCTGGTACTATAGTGGTCCTTTAATCATGACACCTCACATAATTCATTCAGAAATAAATTTACAATGATGCTCAAGCAACACATATCTGATTTCATCAGAGTTTGGGGAGTTTTATACATGCTGCACAGGTGGGCAGACTCTCCAGCCAATGAGTACAGCATGTATCGAGTGGATACAGATATTAGTTGCGAAGAAATCCCTCTTTATGTGTACTATTTCTTCCATATTCATTCGGTAGATATAACTACCGAACAGAGATCACCCCCTGGCTCGTTAAACTTCAAAGAATGCTTCAATTGAACCCTCTATCTGTGCGGCCAGCGTTCGTACTACCGAACGCCACATGGTTGAGAAAACGGCGGCCGTCTTTTTTCAGGCGAGTGTCTGGAACTAAAATCGGACACTCGACTTCCCGAACACTGGTCTCAACAAGCGAACACTGGATCTCTATTTCCCGAATGGTTAGAAGAGCGCTATTTGGTACTTTTGTGCATTCAAATGAGGGGAACAATCGCTGCTAAGAGCCAGCGTTGTGCTTCTAGGATCCACTGCCAAACCAAGTGTTCCTACATGTAAGGACTTTTATGTTTTGTTGTTTCAATAAACTTGTTTAATTTTTTACTTGGCATCTGTTTATATTCATCTCTCCCTGGGAGGATATCAGACTTGGGATCCCGATCTTTGAAACTACCACACTCCTACTATGCTGAATTACTTAAACCAGTATTGCACAGGCTCAGAAAAATGTGAGTGGGATGTGAAAATAATTTCTACATTTACCATACTTTGTCATTCCTGTTCCTGACTATATTGCCCTACTTTAAGCATTCTCTTTTCTAGACAACTAGGAGAATCATTACAGGGTATTTCAATTCTTTCTTACTAAAGGACCACTATAGTGCCAGGAAAATATACTCGTTTTCCTGCCTCTATAGGGTCCTTGGGTCCCCCTCACCCTCAGGGCCTCCCTCCCGTTGGGCTCTAGGGTGAGGAAGGGGTTAATCCCTAACCTTTTTTTCCAGCGCTGGGCTCCCTCGGCGCTGGGGACTCTCCTCCTCCTTTACCGTCATTGGCTGAATGCGCATGCGCGGCAAGAGCCGCGCGCATTTAGCCAGTCTCATAGGAAAGCATTCTCAATGAGACAGCCACTAGAGGCTGGATTAACCCATTTGTAAACATAGCAGTTTCTCTGAAACTGCTATGTTCACATCAGAAAGGGTTAATCCTAGCTGGACCTGGCACCCAGACCACTTCATTAAGCTGAAGTGGTCTGGGTGCCTATAGTGGTCCTTTAAGTGTGTTCACCACATAAGGTTATACACGGATATGTATAAGTGTGCTTTCCACTTTTTATTTGTTTGGCTTTATGTAATTTTGTGAAAGTTAGCGATTGTTTTCACGGCGGTATTTAGCGGCACTAACTTATACATTTGAAGCGTCTCTTTTACTATGTACTTGTTTTTATTACTATCTGCAATGTCCTTGTCCACCCATTTCTTGGCAATCAACTCAAACTCAGAAAATCATTATTGCTTATCTTCCAATATCACTGTCAAGCGTATCCTATAGGTAGTACATTATAGGCAGAGTGAGTTGCTGTTTAATGACTTGCTTTCTTCTGCAGAAAGCCTGCGCTATAGTATACAGCAGTATAATAAATACAAATGGCAGGTCAGGGAGGGTTGGGGATTAATTAAATTTTAGGATTATTTTTATTTTTTTATTATAATTTAATAAACCCACCAAGCATAATTAAATATAACCAAACCTAAATGTTACACCAAATGTGTGGGTGCCGGTCATGCACCTTCTAACAATCTAGAGATGGTGAAGGAGCCTGTGTTTAAAGAACAGACACAGGAGAAAGGTAACACTGAGGATGTACCAGTAACTTGCTCAAACTTTCCCAGAATCCTGTAATGCAAGTACTGTGCATTGAAGAAATACGTAGGTATACTCTTTGGATTTGTAGGGAGACAAAATTGTACTTAACGATGATCTTCTTAATTTGCGATTAACTATAACAATCGGATTATCAGTGATACTTTTATACCTCATAAATTAATCTAGCATCTAAAAATAGTGTTTTGGGTTCGTTTCCATTGGGTGCAATGATCTCATATTGAAAGACGATCTAAAGAACATGAACTCTTAAGGCAAGTGAGATTAGGAAGAATCATCCGATTTAGAGCAGAACGAAGCTCCCTGACACGTGAGCACGCAATTTCATTTGGGGACTCTGGTAGAATCAGCAACAGGATAGCAGGATGACTGGAGACTTCTCTATCAGATTACATATTGTTAATTTAGATTGTAATATCTGTTTGACGCATGCCTTATTGATTTATTTAGCAGTGGAATCGAGTCGTGTAGCTTCAAAACCACACACTGTCATTCGCTGCCCCTTTGTCCCGTTTAATCACTCAGGTACTCGTAAATTCATCACATCTTGTTTGGTTTGTGGTTATAAAATAGAGCAATGTATTTGATACAGGACAGAGATGTGCCTATGTGAGTGATACCTACTGCCAGCTTGTCTTCCCACAGCAATAGCAATAAAACTAACCCTTCCACTGCCATGACTGGGCAAATAGCCTTGCCATAATCTTTTATTCCCCATTCCATAAATCCGCCTCCCTTACCCCGAGGCTTCAGAAATTACAATTTATGTATGGAGATCAAAGGCAAGCAAGGCTGCGTTTTACTCCTCGGTTGATTAGGAAAAAGCCTGCCATGCTTTGTACATTGGATTCAATACCCATGCCAGTAGAATAAGGATGACATGTGCCTATACTGCCTTAATCAAACTTTAATCACAGCCTCAGGGTAAAGAAGAAACCAGCACTCTAGACACCATAACCACTTTTTGAATCAGTTAACTTGGTCAGACAATCAATGGCTTTAAATCATGGACTGAAATTGATTAACAGTCGAACTGGAGGGCTGGGCTTCTGGTGCCACATTTAACTCTCGTTTTGGACAAACTGCTCAAAAACGGTTTAACCAAAAAGTGGTGAACATGCTTGCAAACTAATGGCACCATAACCACCGTATCTGCTTGCAGTGATTTTGGGAAGGTTGCCTCCATCATGCAGTATCTTGATTTTTATTTTATAAAAGCAACTGCACTTCAATGATCAGACATTATACATTACAAAACATTAAAGAGACAGACGTGACCTTGGCATCACCGAGCAGTCGTGTAATGGCCCACACATGTACAATGGTTTGTTCTTTTGAGCTACACATTTGCTTCTGTATCACAGTAAGAGAGATGTATCCATCGGACATGGTCTATGTCACTGATGAAGATTATCTGCATTTCCTGTGATCTAGGATAAGGAGAGCTGGTTGTTAAATAGGATCGCTACAACCTTGTAGTCTTTCTTTCACATAACTTTTTGAATCACAATACTCAGAAAGGCCAGTATTGGGGTCTTTAGAAATTTTTGGCATTCATAATTTTTAAATAAATCCGACACTAATTTAGCTGTATTTGCTCTGGTAAATCATCCAATGTATGTATTTGTTTTGTAAATTAGTATTAGAATGAAGTATAATCTCTCAGACACTGTGACATGAACTAGACTTATCTACCGGCTGACATCACAGAGTAAACAGTGAGTTGTGTTTTCACTAAAATCAGGAATTAACTTTTAAATCAACGTACTGCTCACCACAGTGAAACAAGCTCTCTAAGCCTCATGAGATCCCTACATTACCACGGGGAAGGCCGATCAGTGAAATTAAAACATCACAGTGCTCAGACCAAGTCTTGGGTTCAATTTGTTTTCCCTCAGGGATCCAAATTGAATTAATCTACCATATAGCTTTTTTACCGTAGATGTTTTTCAGTAATATATGTTGCCTTCTGTTGTAGAAATCATAGTAAAGTTCTTGCCCTGGGGATGTCCAGAAATGCATGGCAGATTCAACCTCTTAACTACAAAACCATGTTCTGGATCAGTTTTGGGTCCAATTCGAAGAATATACTTCCACATTAATGCTAGGGGTTTTGTTGTGGAAGAGCATAGAGAGCACACAATAACCATACTTCTTCGCCTGAGTCATGCACCAGTTATAAGATACAAAATCAGATGTCAATCAAGCATAGGAGATCAGGTTGTGGGACATTATTTTATTCTAAGAACAACAGAATGATACTAGAAGTGCGCATAGTTTATTTTAAAAAGTAGCAACAATTAAAAATAACAAACATGTAAACACAACTGGTAGACACCTTTAAACACTCTAATGAAAAAATATATATTTTATTTTAAAGGGTGCATCAGTTTTACTCTCACTGGCACTCATCGAGTTCAACAGGCCACATTGTGGCTATAATTGTGAGCCTTTCTACCTAGTGAATGAGCAATAGGGCAGAATCAGGCACCGCTGATATATAAATAAAATATGGTAAAAGGGGGGTCCCTGAGCTAAATTCTGCACATTTGGGGGACACACAGAGGACTGAGAGGGAGAGGGGACATAAACGAGTAGGGCCATGACAGAGCTGCTTTAATATGTATGTGTGTGCGTATGTTAATGGATCAGTTTCTGAAAACACACTAGAAGTGGGGAGTGTGGGGGGTGGAAGAGGGGGAGAAACTAGGTTTTATATAGTAGGCTTCTGTGTAGAGGGACATGCAAGAGTATGGACTAACATCTGTAATTGTGACAAAATTGACTGTGCTTATTTGAATATTTGGCACTGGCATTCTAGGAAAGTTGTATTAAACACTTCAGGGCTCTTTTCTCCAGGGCAGTTTTTTTTTTAAATTTTTTTTTATTTTAAATTGCCTTTGAGAATAGTATCCTTTCATTTGAAAATCATATAAATAAATAAAGGGACACTATAATCATCAAAACTATAGTTTATCTTAATGAAGACGTTTTGGTGTATAGATCTTGCCTCTGCAGACTCACTGCTCAATCCTCTGCCATTTAGGATTTAAATCACTTTGTTTATGCAGCCCTAGTCACACCTCCCTGTATGTGACTTACACAGCCTTCCTTAACACTTCCTGCAAATAATTATCTAATGTTTACACTTCCTTTATTGGAATTTCTGTTTATTTAGAATTTCTCATCTCCTGCTCTGTTGATAGCCTTTTAGACCCTGCAGGAGACTCCTGCATGTGACCAACATTCAATTTACAGAGCAGGAGATAAAAACATTTAAAGGGACACTATAGTCACCAGCAGGGCTGCCACCAGAAATCAGATTGTGTGTCAGTGTAGTGAATGCAGAGTGTGTGTCAGTGTAGTGAATGCAGAGTGTGTGTCAGGGTAGTGAATGCAGAGTGTGTGTCAGGGTAGTGAATGCAGTGTGTGTGTCAGTGTAGTGAATGCAGAGTGTGTGTCAGGGTAGTGAATGCAGAGTGTGTGTCAGTGTAGTGAATGCAGAGTGTGTGTCAGTGTAGTGAATGCAGAGTGTGTGTCAGTGTAGTGAATGCAGAGTGTGTGTCAGTGTAATGAATGCAGAGTGTGTGTTAGTGTAATGAATGCAGAGTGTGTGTCAGTGTAATGAATGCAGAGTGTGTGTCAGGGTAGTGAATGCAGTGTGTGTGTCAGTGTAGTGACTGCAGAGTGTGTGTCAGGGTAGTGAATGCAGAGTGTGTGTCAGGGTAGTGAATGCAGAGTGTGTGTCAGGGTAATGAATGTAGAGTGTGTGTTAGTGTAATGAATGCAGAGTGTGTGTCAGTGTAATGAATGCAGAGTGTGTGTCAGTGTAGTGTGTGTGTGTTTACTAGTGTATGAATGTTGTGCAAATAGAGCATTTTCCCTTTCCCCCACATTAAATCTAATAAAGGTTATTCCCTCTTCCCTGCTTCTTACCTGGTTCAGGGAGGGGGGAGATTCCATCATTGGTGGTCCGGTGGCATTGTGGGGCCCCCGACTCCCTGTATTTGCAGAGGGGGCGAGCGTGATGACGGCCACACGTCTCGCGGGAGTTCGAGAGCTGTAAGAGCTGTAAAGTACTGCTGCAGTCTGCTGGGCCCCCTCTGCAAAAACAGGGAGCCGGGGGCCCGCAGCTGCACATATATATAGCAATCATCTCTATATATATGTGCAGAGAGGGAATGTGGGGCCCGGGACTGCCAAAGCAGTCCGGGCCCCCCAGGACAGCCAGGCCTATGCCAACCACCATGGTTGTCACCCCCTGATGGCGGCCCTGGTCACCAGAACAACTACAGCTTAATGTACTTTCTATAGTAACTATAATCATTCTCTTCAGAAATTTGAATGTAAATACTTTCTTTTTAGAGAAAAGTCAATGTTTTCACATTACAACCTAGGGACACTTTTAGTGTCCACTCCTCAGATGGTTACTAGAGGTGCTCCCTCGGGCAGTGCTGCACAGTGTGACTGACATTCAGTGTCTCCACCCTCTGTATGGAGACACTCAACTTTCCCCATAGAGATGGATTGATTCACTACATGGCTGTGTTTGGCTACACCCACAACTCTCCTCCTTGGCAGACATCACAATTGACCATCTCAGCCAATCCAATGTTTTCCTATAAGAAAGCATTGTGATTGGCTGAGATCATTACTTCTGATGATGTCAGCCAAGGCGGCAGATCAGTGGCAGAGCCAGCACCAGGAGACTGGAATAAAAGAAAGATTTTACTATAATTAGGGGGGCAATGGAGACTAGATAGTGATCTTAGTGCTATAGGGTCTGAAATACAGGTTTGTGTTTGTGACATTATAGTGATTCTTTAAAGTAAGTTACATCTGATTAAAAATAAAAACATTTTGTTTTCATGCAGGCTGTGTCTGTCACACCCAGGGAGGTGTTACAAGGGCTGCATAAAAATTAACAAAAGTGATTAAACTTCTAACTGGCAGATAATGGAGTAGTGAGACTGCAGGGGCGTGTTCTATATACAAAAACCTACTTCATTCAGCTAAAGTTGTTTAGTCACTATAGTACCCCTTTAAAAAGAAAATAAAGGTACAATTTTACAGCAAGATCATGCTAACACAAAAAAAGACAAACACAAACAGTAGTGTATTGCAATTAAAGGGTTACTCCAAACCCTATGAGCACGTTATTGATTTGGAGTGGTCATGATGTCTGGATTATGTATGTGCAGTATTTTGCTACGAAACACTGCAAATAAAAATATTAACCCCTCCGCTGCTCAAGGTTTAAAGGGAAACTCCAGTGCCAGGAAAACAATCCGTTTTCCTGGCACTGCAGGTCCCCTCTCCCTCCCACCCCCCAATCCCCGGTTGCTTCCTCCGCGCCGCTCCTCCCACTGATTGCGTCGGCCGGTGGGCGAGACTGATCCCGCCCACTGGCCGGGGAGACCTAGTGCGTATTTAAATATTTTACGCTTTCCTATGGAGAAATGAGCGACGCTGGAGGTCCTCAAACAGCGTGAGGACGTCCAGCGACGCTCTAGCACAGGTTTCCTGTGCTAGGAACCAGGAAGTGCCCTCTAGTGGCTGTCTAGTAGACAGCCACTAGAGGTGGAGTTAACCCTGCAAGGTAATTATTGCAGTTTATAAAAAACTGCAATAATTACACTTGCAGGGTTAAGAGTAGTGGGAGTTGGCACCCAGACCACTCCAATGGGCAGAAGTGGTCTGGGTGCCTGGAGTGTCCCTTTAACACCTCAGGCAGCATCAAAGAGGTGTCATTAGCCAGCGCCGAACTAGAATTCTCGGTTAGCTAATATACATTTTGTGCAAAATTGGCGTCTGAAACCTCTCTTCCAAGACACCCCTTTCCTCCCCTCAGTCCACCCTTACTGACCTCCCTACAACTACGGCGAGTGGGAGTGACATCTGCGTAAGAGGGCTGAGGGGAGAACTTGGCCTTGAGGCCAAAGTAAAATAATAATAATAATAATACACCCTTAAGCCCATTTTATATATATATATATAAATAATTTTTTTTTATTATTTGTTTTTGGCCTGGGGTGGGAGGGACAACCACTGAATGGGTTACTCCAACCAAAACCAGTGTTTTATGAAAACAATGTTTTTTGGCTGGGCAAACCCTGTAATGCAGTAAGAGGTTTCAATGGTTTAAGTCAAAGGGTTAAATAATTCTAGTTAGACTAGAGGTAGTTAATACTGGCATAGCGCAGCGGGTATTCCGTTACAGGAGAGGCTAGCCCCCAATACTGGCTAGCCCCCAATACTTTCCAATTGGGAGCTTGACCCCCATTGTGCCAGCTGTGCTCTCAGTCTGTAACAGTAGAATTAAAAATCACTCACGAGGACAAGTCAAATATTTTGTTCCCTCCCTCCCCTCTTTTCTCTACAATAGGATCACTATATGTCAATTAAATTTCCGATCAGAAGTCCTTTTTACTGATGGTCACATTGCTGTAGCTGACGGGAAAAGAATTGCAATTCAACAGGCGGGATTTAGCATTTAACCCGGTCAGTACTGTTCTTCGATCACCCTTTCTTAGTGCTCAAAAAGACCAACTTAACCTATTCCCAAAACATATGTCATGGCAATATAAATTGAATTAGACCGTCGCAACTAGGTAAAATAAGAAATCCATATTTTCTATGAAAAGGTATCAGTTAAATTTGATTAAACCCAACAGTGACAGCAACAGAGAGAGATGAAAATCTATATGTAGCTAAATAAAGACACAGCTCTGTATGAGGGTATATAGAAGGAGGAGAGGAGACATACAAGGATTTATAAAGAGACAGAGAAAGATGGACAAGCATGCCTACAGGTGAAGTCTTATGTAGGAATACAACCAGATATGCTGCTCCCCCTTTCCAAAACCCAGTTGAGATGTTAATGTTCCCAAAAGAACTTAGCACTTTGTCCAAAGAAATATTTCAGATAACCATATGTAAACAAGCATTTAGTATTGATTTAATTGGTTTTAACAGGAAATCAGTATTTTCTACACTGTCTGTTTGTAGTAAGCTGAACAGTAACTACCCGTGTCTTTTCAATGGATTTGCTAGATTGGAGCATCCAGCCAGACATCATGGGGATTTGAGTCACCAGCAGCCCTCATGGCAAAGATTACATATCCCCAAATGCCAAGAAAGGAAGGAGCAAGTCAGGTCCAAATTCTAAAAGTGGAGCAGTCACCATGGAAATCACGGAGTATTCCTACTGATTGTCACATAACCTCTTTCTACATAACCGCCATAGTTTTAGAGTCATTTCCTATCACCAACAACAAAATGCAGTTTTGTCCGAGGGCTGAAGCTTTCTGACTAATGACCCTTAGAAATATGTTTACCAATCACAAAGCCTCACTGAGTGCCAGTTCCCAATCCCCTCTGGCCTTCTGTAACCATTATTTTGCTCTAACAACCGTGACTTTGGTAGCCTGCACATTCCAGATCAATACAGTTTGCTAGAATACAAGTCACACTTGGATAAGCCGTAAGTCGTCTGTATGCTTCAAACACAATATAGAATGTACAAAAACACAGGATAATGACCTATGCAACAGACTCAATTACACATTAAGAGCCGTTCAATAAACGGCTGTTTACAAAGAGCAAGGAGATGTTCTGCATCATTAGACAAATTCATGGTATTGATGCCTTCAGAGTGCGTATTAATGCGTGGGATCCCTGTAGACACTTCAAAAGGTCTTTCTCCAATCAATCAGCCACCAACTGAAACAGCCATCTCATACAACAATAGCAGAAACTGGACATGGTTTCATTGATATTGTGTTTCTTAAAAGTCATGTAACTTGTATAGCCTTCGTTCATCTGGTGCCACAAAAGGAACATACAGTTGTTGTAGAGTGAATTTACTCTATAAAGGTTTCCAGACCTGTCTGCTCACAATTTTGTTGGGCCTTGTCCCTTATGACAAGTTCTGGGATTGTGGTGATTGTGGTGATAGATCCTAGGGCACAGTCATTGGAAGTGGTCTGTGGAAAGCTGGATTTTCTGTAGAGCGGCAGCGTGGCTTCCTCATTTACAGATACTTCCTTTCTGGGAGCTGATGGCAAGTAGGAGACTGCCAGAGAAGATATTTGACAAAAGGAAGCCTTTAGAGCTGTCCGAAACTCTTTCCTCATGAGGCAGTAAATAACGGGGTTCAGACAGCTGTTACTATGAGCAAAGCAAAGCGTGATGGGGAAAACATATGTGTGAAAATAATAGTATGCCTCGCTCCACTGTATGGCTTCATACTTCACCAGAATTCCCCAGAAGATGGCTGCATGGTTAGGGAACCAACAGATAAAGAAGACAATAATGATCAACTGTACAGAGTTTGTGATTTTACTTTGCCGGTGTTGGTTGTTGGCATTCACTCTGTGCTGTCTAAGGAAATTTAGAAGCATTACGTAGGATGAAGAAATCACCACTAAAGGTATTACAAACCCAATGATGACCCTTTGAAGATGATAAGTGGCCAGCCACTTGTTTCCAGGAAATTTAAGGAGGCACAGATCTTCACCTAAAACTTTACTGGTAGTGGCAAAGATGGTGGTAGGGATTGTGACAACAACAGCAAAGATCCACAGAGCCAAGCTGATCCACTTAGCAGATGTGGCAGACACTCTTCCTCTGAGACTTAGTGCCGAAGCCACTGCCCAATACCGAGTCATAGCCATGGCAGTCAGCAGGAAGATATTGTTGTAGACATTCAGAATGGTCATGGTTAGGACAATTTTGCACATGGAATGCCCAAAAGGCCAGCTGAAATCCATGACGGCATCCACAGCCCAAAAGGGGAGAGTGAGAGCAAATTGGAAGTCTGTCAGAGCCAAGCAGAACACAAAGACATCAATGGCAGTAAGACCTGTAGCTTTCTTTGCCCTAATTAGGTACATCACTGAGAGGTTTCCCAAGAGCCCCACCACACACACTAACGAGTAAACCGTAGAAATAAGGATCCGGAAGCTAGCCAGCCCGTAAATGGGAAGAGTGGCATCATCATCCAGGCTGATGGTCTTCATCTCTTCTGAAATGCTCTCATTCATCAGCAAAGAGTAATTTTCATACATCTTCAAAAAGTTGGAAAATTGTTCTCTCCTCAATGAATTTAATCAAACAGAATGTCCGAGCTGGTTACACATTATCACAGGTTGCACTGCGAGGAATGCCCGGTTTCACCTTTCAATGCTCTTCTTTGCAAAACCTCTAGCTCTTTTCAGTAACATGGGTTTACAGATCTTCCTCCTGAAGACATAATTAGTCAATTATCTTCATGAAGTCAGCAGCGCTGCAGTAAATTATCTTTCCAATAGTTCGAGCCTTAGATAATTCTTAGCCCGAGATCCTTGCGGGGCTGGAAATCTATGCAGTTGAAAGATACCTTGTGGCTCTGTGCTCAGTGTGTTGTCTTTATAGCGAGTTACACATATATGTGGCCTCACCCTTATCCCTTCCTGGAATCACGCTGAACTTGATGGGTTGCTAACTGCAGCAAAGGGCATTTAACTAGTTACTCTGGTGTGCCTTTCTGTTTTCTATAGTTTCTAGATGGTGGGGGCTGTGCTGAGAGGTAGGCAGGGCTCTCGGCAGCAGTTTACCACCGAGATAAATATGTTACATCTTACTTTATAAACAACATGCACAGTAGAAAAACAAAGGTCACTCAGGATATTGGATCATAAACCGGGTCTCTAAAAAAAAAATAATTATGATCAGAGTTGTAAAACCTCTATATTAAAACCTCTATATTTCAAACAATACAGACGCACCTGTACGTTTATAAATATGATGCAATAAAAGAAATTTGCAAACTTGCGCTTGTTATAATATTAAACTCTAATATTTAATGTGCATACATTTTATGTGTATGTTTGT